ATAAATGTATATATATATATTTAGTAACTATGACACTTGCCCTAGTATGTGATAGTTAAGTATTAGTTAAAAAATATTTATTATTATAAATAAATATTTAGCCGGATTTCTATTATGGTTTCTAAATTAAAATGAATATGGCCTGATTATCAATAATCAGATTTCTTTAAAAGGTATAATTTTAAGATCACTACTGTGGATAAACTATGTTTCCTTTAGTCATTATATTAATCAAATGCATGACTAAATTTTAACATTAAATCATGTTTTCAAATAATGTTGTCATAAAATAATTTTAAAATAGTGTTTATAAGAAAGTATGCATTGAATTGAAAAACAATACTTGCAAATATGTGTATTCATGCCTACGAACATATTCATACTTAGGTTTTGTGTAGTAGCCAAACAATGATAAAGTTACATATTTTTTCTTACCATTTTGTTACATCCTGATGTGAAAATGAGCAAAATGACTTATTATGTTACTATTAGAAGGAAACATGGACTGAAGCCGAAGAGATTTCACTTATCGAAGCACACAAGCAGTTGGGCAACCGTTGGGCAGAGATGGCCAAAAAAATCCCAGGTAGAAGTGAAAATTCTATAAAAAATCATTGGAATGCTACCAAAAGAAGGCTGAGTTCAAAAAGAAGATGCAAAATCAGAGCAACAGCAAAAATCAAAGCCTCTCTCCTCGAAGAGTACATCATGAAAACAACCGAACTCCTCAATAACTCCTCAACCACAAAACAACAAATTCTTACCACAACCCAAGCTGAAGCTTCAGATTTAAATATCATTAACTGTGGAGATTATTTCAGTGTGAGCATGGAAGAGAATTTTGATTTCATGGCATCTTCTCCTCCCCAATTTCAAGAGATATTTGAGAAGGAAGGTAATGAAAGTTGTAGCAATGGAAGTATTGATGAATTTTGTTCAGATCTATACCTTTCATATCGCATGGATGGGCTACCTGTAATGTCAGATTTTGGGGGATTTCATGGAGGTAAGTTGGAAGATTTGATAGGACTCGACAAGGATCTGGGATGCAAGAAAGATATGGATTTGATAGAGATGATGTCATTATGTTCTTCTCAAGAGTATTCATAAAGCTGTATTTGCAGAAACGGCTTTGTTTGTAGCTTCACCTGAAAGATGCTACTCTAGATGTAACTAGAACTTAACAGAGAGGAAGTTCAAAGAAATTCATAATATTTTTTTGAAATAATTCAAATGGATGTTATGATGGCTTTTATTTGAGATGATTCAACTCATGATTATTATGCTTGATAGTGATTTCGGTGAAATCATTTTTTTATGTCTTTGTGATATCTGTAAAATTTGCCTACAATATTTCAAATGGAGGGCAAGATGGCTGTCATTTGAGATGTGTGTTCTTATAATTTTTTTTGTACGATATAGATTGGGGTGAAACCATTATTTTAGAAACCATGCATATTGTGGTATTTGTAATTGAAATTTTATTTTGTGAGCAATTTTTTGTTAAAATTTACAGTAGATGGTTTTTTTTAGAAAAAAAAGTAACATTTTTTCTTGGTTGGAGACATGATTATTTTTTTAAAAGAATTTTTTTGATTTTTTTTTAGAAATTTAAATAAAATAAATGATTAGTTTGTTGTCCAGTGCATGGGTGCCTTCTAATTAATATACATTCTTCACATGAAGGCACTTGATAATCTCATGCTAGCCATCTTGAACCATAAATGCGTTGGGATAAATTCTAATCACACCTTAAATTTAATTTTCATCTTATGAAAGAATTGCCTTCAAGCCCATGCATACAACAAACTTGCTATTATAAAAATTAGATTAGTCAAAATAACTAGAAACATGAACTTGAATTCTTATCACTTACCACTTTTTCTCATGTTTATGTACATCGGATGTCTTCAATAGAAATCATCTCATTCTTGATGTAAGTGAATAATGAATAATTTGAGGTTGAATCCTTTCTACTTTTAAGGGGATGATGTAGGTATATCATAATTTTTAATAATTTTAAATGTTATTTGTTTGTTTTCATTGTTCAGATTTCCTTGTATAAGGTTGATGTTGCCATGAGAAAAGGATTATTTTGTTGGGCATGTTTAATTTTTGGGTGTCCTCAATAGTAGTCGCCTAATATTTTTTTCTTTATTGTTATTATAACCAATAATGATTTAACTTGACTATGTATTCTCTTTGATTGTATCTTTTCTGTACTTTTCTATTTCTCTAGTTTAGTAAGGTTCAGATGTGACCCATGAACAACTCAGAATCCAACACTATGTAGACCGCAATGGCACACAACATTGGAGTTAATTTTAAAAATTTTCAAGCATTGAATTTTAGATTTGTCTAAGTATGTTGGGCGAAATCAATTCTAGTGTATATTACCTATTTTATATTTCTTATTTTATTCCTGATATTAACTTTAAGTATAAAATAATCTTTAAATTTCAATAATTGAGAAACTAAAGTTTAAATTAACTATAAAATTTTGTGCAAGTACTTACATCATGAACAATTGCCTATACTAATTCAAATGGAGGTCATAAGGGCTTTCATTTGAGATGGAATTCCTTTACATTTCTCTTGTGAAGATTAGTTGGAATGTGTAGAATATTGATTAGTTTGAAATTAGTTTTTATAATATAATGTGATCAGTATTCTTTTAGCCTTCATTTATATTTAATATTGGCCATATGATTTGTTAAAATTCATTGTGATCCACTGAGATTCAAAAGAGTGGTGAAAGAACAACTAGAGTATTCATACTATTTGATAGGCTATGGTGAAGTAGTATGTAGGTAATGCAAATAGATAGAGAAATAGGCTTTAATGGGCTCAATATAGGATTTAAGAAATTAAAATGACCAAAAGAAAATATGTTGAGATTTTCATACCTATTTTACACTAATTTTGATGATATTGCACTTTAAAGAAGGGCATTTTTGATGTTTTGTTGCAGGTATGAGGAATTATGGCCATTGGAGCGAAAAGAGGGTGTTGGTCTGGAGCTAAGGCACTCACTACACTCATCTACACTCACAATCACTCACAACCCAGAATTTCTAGGCTTTGGTCCTTTGATCTCTTTTACACTTCTTGCATATTTTTGAATGAAATTTTACTTTAGAGGAAGCACCTACTAGCCCTAGGGCTATGGTTTGGCTAAGACCACTATATAGAGGATCCAAAAGGGGAAGGGCTATCTGTTAGGAACACAACGCAATTAAAATGAGGCGAAACAGAACTAAAATGGAGCCAAACGGAGCAAAACGGTGGAGCCGCGCCCCCGCCGCGGCCGCCCAACACGGCGCCGATGACGAGATTCACCCGAGAAGACCGAAAAATGACAGAAAACCTCGCCGACAATGCCCTCGAGCCCACCGATAGCGCTCGAGACGACTATGGACCGACTTTTGGTGGTTATGGGCTGAAATTCAATGTATTTGGACGCTTTTTGAAAGGACTCTTATGACAACTCTTCAAACTTCGTCCCTACACTTTAAAAGAACGAATTTAGGTTAGAAAAAGTGGGATTTTTGTGAGAGGAATGTTAGGAAAAGTGTGGAGAAAGTTTAGTGTTTTTAGAATAGAAGTAGAAATGTAGATTTCTATCGTTTTGGAGAGATTGAAGAGGAGATATTGAGAGAATTTGTAAGGAGATCTTCTAGCATTACATGAATCGGTGGGAGACTTTGTGGGAGAGATTTTCTTCTTTCTTTCAAGGGAAAAAGCTAAGTATTGTGTTCTTCATTATCTTATGATTTTGTAAACACTTATCTAGTGGATTTTCTTTGATAAAATGAAGTTTTCTGTTTTTCCTATACTAATTCAAATGGAGGTCATAATGGCTTTCATTTGAGAAGAGTGTTTTTATAATTTTTATGTTTGATAGAGATTGAGGCGAAAACATTATTTTAGAAATCATGCATATTGTGATATTTGTAATTAGGAAAATAAAGTTTAAACTAACTATAAAATTTAGGGAAAACACATACACACTTTATTTACATTATAATAAAGGCTTGTTGTAGTATTCAAATTCGTTGTAATTTCATTAAGACCCAAGAGGGAGGTGTAATTCTCAACAAAATTCTCAACCAACAAAGTGGAACCACATTCAAATTTCATTGATGGTGAAGTTCATGGGGGTTGGATA